TGTATTTCCAAGTGGATTAGCCCCCTTTTATGGGTAGAGGTATTTGGAAAAGGTCTGAATTTGCTTCAACCTCTCTCCCTCTCTTTTGTGAGTTCCCATTTCCATACAGGGAATAAATTTAGATGGACTCATCTACTCAGAAATGAATCCGCATTAATCTAACTGCCTCCACATCGACAAGTCTTTGGAAAGAAGCAGGAAGCGCACTCGTTCCACAGATAATTCACTGCCTGGGACAAAAAGGGCTTGCATAAGTTTTGAGCAAAATTGTGTCCATCACAGGGCAGGAATGTGGGCTGTGCATCCTTATTTTCTCTCTTTAACACTAGTATAATTGCATGCTTCAGTGTGCAAGAACAGACTGGAGTGGCTTTTCTTAACTAGTGGTTGCAGCTTCAAAAAGGTATCCATGGGGGTGGCCACATGGATCCATGGAGCAGCCCTTGCTGATAGTCTCAGAGTGAGGAATTGCAGGATCCTGGCCTCAGCATTCAAAGCACTGGCCCAAAGGATTAGAAGGGTGAATTCAAGAGACTAATTGTGGTTAAATCACAGTTCACGCTGTGACTGTTTCAGTTCTTAAAGAAACTAAATGGAATGGGTAAGTCAGCGGGCAGAATTAGCACCTTCTCTCACCCTGGTGAAATACATGGTGCAGTCATACAGGTGTGTTTTGCCTCGTGCAAAGGTCTTCAATAGGAGTCTCTCCCGCTGCTAACCATTATCTTATAAAATTATTACCTTGTACCTCAAAGGTGAGAACTGCAAAGGCTAATGAGCTAATTCTCTGGGCCCACTACGTCCATCCCACCCTGCCACACCAGGAAGCCCAGTGTCCTTCACCAGGTTCTTCACTGGAGGTGGGAAGTCCCCAGTGTACATCTGCCACGCAGGGAATCCTGTTCCCTTGGCAACGTTTGCAGCAGGCATCACATCAAGAGCACCTTCCTGGTATTTCCAGCTGTTGCGCTGGACATGGCACTGCCAATTTGAGGAAATCACCTGCAGGTAGCCTTCTGGCTCAAAGAGCTGTTACACTGAAGCTGTGCTAGCCCTCGGCCAGGAATTTCATTTGGGTTTTCCAAAGATCCACATCTCCTTCTTAGAAGAAAGAAAATGTCAAATAAGTGTTTGCCTTGTGCTAGCAGGAGGGTAGGACTGTAGTAAGACTGTGTGGGAGAGCACCAAGGGTGTCATTTACTATTTAGACACCTCGAAGAACTGTATTGGTGGATTCTCCTTTGACTTATCATAACAGAGACGTGTCTGGAGTACTTAGGGGTTGTAAGAAATCTTCCCAGCACAGCTGTAAATAGCAGCTCCAAGTCACAGACATACAGACTATATTTGTAGAGTTAAATGTACTTCCTATTTTGGTATGGAAGCATGTCCCTTCCTACAGATCCTTGGGGCTAAAGCCAAACAGATACCCAAGAAGTGAAATTAAATCAAAACGGTTTCATTTGTGGGCTATGAAGTAGAAACAAAGGGCCCAGAGACCAGAGACATGACAGTTCTGGATAGTCACAGGTTAACAAGAGGTAAAACTGAGACCCATTTCAGACACACTTTAAAGTGGGTCTTCAAAGATAATGACTTGTAATCAATTATCAGCATAGAATGACTGTGTCCATCCCACAGCACTGTTTTTAACACAAAGTCAAGCAGAAGCATGAGAGCAACACTCTTCTAAAGCCACGTAAATCTTTATTCTCCACCCAGGCCAGCAAGGATGGGAAAAGGGAATGCAATTAAAAATAACAATCAGCAAACACACATTACCTTTACTGAAAAAAAAATCCAGACTAGAGCAGCCAGAAACACACTCAACAATCAGAATAACTGGAATTCCCTGCAATTTGACAGTGGCACATAAGCAGAAATTACTTGTGAGTTTCTGAAAGCAAGGGTAGAACGAGACAAAAACTTGTGCTTTTTTCTATTACAACAAGTGATTATGATTATATATTTTGCAGCAGGCAAACCGCTCTGGGGGATAACGGGCAAGAGAGAAAGCTATCCAGAGTTGTTTTGAGAAAAGTTTGAATAAAACTTACAAATAGCACCAGAACTAACCCCAAACTTAAACTAGCCCCCACCAGCATCAATGGCAGAACACCCTGACTTCAGCAGGAGCAGAGGCAAGCTTGGTTAAGTGTAAAGTAGAAAACACACGATGGATTTTTCCGGTATATCCCCAAAAAGGTGGCCTCCAAACCCAGAAGCATAGCTGCCACAGCAGAGGGAGGGTAATACGACTTCTCTGATGCTCCTTTGTGTTTACATAGCAGTAAGAGGCACAGATTTGGTTTTGTCTCCGCTCTGGCAGGCTGTTTGCAATTCTGAAAGCAAATCCTGCAGCTCAGCAGACATTTCACATGGCTGTATTCTGTAATGAGCTAGTATTTATCATTCAAGCCCTCTGTAAGTGAAGGCTCTTTGTGCTGCTGACCCCAGCCTTTTGACTAGCCTTGAACAGCTGCTGTTTGGCAGTGACAGCTGAATTGGGTTTTCTCCCTCTGCAGCAATGCACACTTGCCAGCCATCCTTCCCCTAAACCCACTTGTTTGCTGCATGTTGGGGCCAAGGTACACAATCCACTCCTTTCAGGCCAGCAGTGTCCCTCTAGGCAAAGCGTGAGAACACTTGCCAGCGGGCCTTCCTTCCCATTACTGCTCGTTAAGCATCACTTCTTCCCACCCTCCAGCCATGTGGGAGCCTGCAATTTCCATGTGGAGGAGTATTAAGCAGCGTGGCTGCGCCGGGTCACTACAGACTGCCAGCACTGGCATGACTTATCCTCAGCTTCTCTATTAATTCAGAGGCATATCAAGCTCCCTGATTGAAACAGCCCTGTGAAAGGCATTCCACTGCTTGAACCGGTTCCATGGCATATGTCAACCTCTTTGAACCCCACTGAATTACCTGCCATTGCCTCACAGGTTGGGGTCTTTTTTTTTGTTTGTTTTTCTGGAAGTTGGTCATTGCCTTTAAAGACTTAGCCAGTAAAAACTGAAAGCTGTGCATCAGGAAGCAGCAAACACAGCCTGGCTGTACCTGTAAAGTGCGGGGCCAAGCCTGCTCTTGATATTTGGCTTGTACGCTATTCACACTGTTAATCCTCAAGCCAGTGCTAAGAGGCTGCTTTGGCTGGACCTCCCAGAAGGGGATGGACCAAGGATGCAGCAGGGACTTTACTTACTTCTCAGTGTCAGGCCTAGAGGATCGGATGGACTTGTTTATACATCACAGGTTCCCAGATGTCCTAACCAGGACAGCCAGTCAGTGTAGTCTTGACCTCATCGTTAAAATGCAACATGAAGCATTCCTGTGAAATCCAGGTTCTGAATGCTTCTCTTTACCATCCTAAAACTAGAGCAGCTCCCCCTCTGGTAGGGAGACTGGGGAAGTGAAACACCTATAGACATGAGTGACTGTGCAGCCTGACTGACTGCACACTACGAATTATCTACCTACACGCATGCAAATGGTGGGCTCCTCTGGGTTGGGGCTGAGCCAGACTTTCTAGCAGCACCAGCTGAACTAGAGCACTCAGAAAATCATGTTTCAGATGTGTAACTCAGTCCCCATTAGAGTCCGTTATACCTCTCTTTTATTTTCCTTGTGTCCTCCTTAGGCCAAAACCCCAACAGTCAATCCAGAAAAAGAACTTTTCATTCATTGTGTCATTTTTTTAAAAGACAATTAAAATTTCTCCAGCCTAATGTGGCCACCTCAGCCTGGTCTGGGAGCCCACTAAGATGCCATGCAAAGTCCCAAAAGGAGAGAAACCAATTATGAAAATGAGACATGAGGGGAGGAGGGTATATAATCCATTGGTCTTCCATATAATTAACGAGGAAGTGTGTTGGGGATGCAGATTTCCAGAGCTGAGGCACTAATGCAGTTTGCACTGGCACTAACAGACACAGGCTCAGGGACACCCGCGTTCCTAAAGTGAAGGTCCAGCAGCTTTTCCATAAGAGCAACTTGAAAAACAGAATGACCATTTCAATGAGACCTTCCCATCCCAAGCACCTTCCACTCCACTTCCCTAAATACAGGTGCTGCCAGTCCACACTTGCATTGCAGTGACATGCAAACTGATCCCCTTTCCTCAGAGCAGATGTTTCTTCCCTATAATGCAACTGTTTGCACTGCACACTGCATACGACTCCTGTAGCCCATTTCTTCCTAGCAGTACACCTATCAAGAGATCAAATGCAGGTGTGTCCTAAGCACCTATCTGTGCACCTACAGTCTCCTGAGGGTGCTTGGTGACAGGCCCATCAGGTCGCTACACACCACATTACAAAGCAAGCCCTACTCTTCCATCATGTGATGGGTGCATTTCAGGTCAGCATAGAGCTCATGTGCCTTTGTCGGAGGCTATGCTGTCCTCTCCCAGTGAAAGGCTGGGCACCACTATTGTAGTGGTCTATTTTTCAAACTCTGACAGAGTCTAAGCAATTAGGCTACCTGGAAGGTTTGCTTGTTTGTCGGAAGGACTGGAAAAGAACCCTTTCTAGGAAAACTGCAGGAACATCACGTTTTGCAATTTAGCCTTCACCTCTGAATGATTTCCTAGCTCCTGAAGGTCATCCCCCAAGTAGAGACTTCTTTTCACTGAGTCGACAGGTCACTGTTATGTCCCATTCCCTAAAAGTAAAGTTTAACTTTACAGAAGTGGACTTTTCAGCATATATCTCTGCCATGCCACAAACAGCCCAAGCCCCACAGACCTGGATTTTCTCACCATTCACAGAAGTTGTCATTAGCTAAAACAGATGACAAATCCTTGGAGAGCCATGCACTTCCCCACCCAGACCACATGAAGCTAGCACATTTGCATTCTGTGACATTTAAAGAGCACTCCCAGCCCAATATTTTATTCATTAAGTTTGTGTTTAAATATATATATGTATATAAAAAAATCAGTGTGATATTTTCTAGGTGAAAACCACTCGCATATGACCAAAATAGTCAGCCAGGGCAAAGGCTCAGACTGCCGAGGTCTCAACCCCCTGTGCAGAGCTCTTGCCAGAGAGACTACCTGAGATATTGTCAGAATCTAGCAGCTCGACAACGCTGTATGGAGAACAATCCTCCAAACCCAGCTTGCTGCAGAGCCAGCCACAGAAGCCCTTCTCCATATCCCTGACAGCATGCCACCAGTACCCAAAGGACCATGCTACCTGGGCCACAGCCGAGTACAGGCCTAGGGAAAAAGACACAACCATAATTATAATTGGGTAGAAGATGATCAAAAAGGGACAAAAGGTGATTTTGTGCCAGAAGGTCCTCTCTTCATTGTACACCAAGAAGATATTGTACCATGTAATGGTTCCATAGTAGAATGAAACCACAAAGGACACTACAAAAATGATGGGGAGGCAGATGATGGTCCAGAGGACGATGTGGGGTCCTCTGTCCAGCCCAACATCACATTTCTTCTTCTTCTCAGGTATGTCCTCTTTAGGAGGTTCCTTTGACTTAGCCAGTTCCTGCAGCTCTTTGTCCGTTAGCGTGACGTGGATGTCCACCATCTGACCCTTCTTCTTTCCCCTGGTGATTGTTCCAGTCAAGGTGACATATCGGCTGTCTAAAGGCATGTTCCAGACACCTACGAACACAGATAAACTCATCTACATTAGATTTATTTTCTGTATGGAGTATTTTGTGTAAAACCCCAAAGACCCCAAAGACAATTAGATAGTGCATATGGAGTTACAGTTAAATTAAAAAAAGATGGAACGCGAGAAGCAATGCAGTATAAAGAAGATTATCACAGAAGAAAATGGAAGAAGAGCTAACAAGGGAGAAGACAGGAATTCCAGATGACAGAAATCACAAGGGAGAAGACTCCAGCATCTGCACTGGGGACAATATGTGAAGGGAAAGTGCTGCAGGAGTATATGAGAAAGAGATGAGACAGAGCAATTGAATAAAAAATGGTATGCCTATTTTCTCTGGTACCCTCATGGATTTATTCCTGAATAGCATGGACACTTGGGGTGAATTAGATAAATACGACTAAAACTCTTGTTCTGGAATAAGCGCATCCACACATGGAGTTATACTTGAATAGCTAATATTTCACTTTACATTTGCACTGTATCTCAATGCAAATTAATTTTCAAAGTTTAGAAAATCCTTATAAACTCTTACATAATTATATTTGCATTTTAAGGGATCAACAAAGGCACCAAACAGGAAAGTGCTGGGATGTGTGTTAAAGTCACAAACAGACTGCCTTAGCTTCCAACTGACATTGGTTTAGGATGGTCCCTGCAGTGGCACTGGCCATAAACTTGTCTAGGGGGCTAAAATATGCTTCCTCCTGGTCTTAATTCTGACTAGCTTGGAAGGAGGTCTTCAGAGGCTCTTAAAAGGAGGCTGAGCAGTTTGAAGTGGCCCACAAAAATAGGAAGGCAGCAGATAAGCCATGAGGATAGGGGTTGGGATCATGGGGGAATCTTGTGCGGCCGATGGACCAGGCACATGCATTCACATTTAAGCCCCTCTCAGCCTGCACTGCTGACTCGCAAGAGGATTAGCCATAGGACCTGCCTCCCACATTTGTTCCCTGCAAGGGTATCCAGGACAGACATCAGAAGTGAAAGTGGCTCCAAGATGCCCCACGATGACTTTGCCAAATAATCACTCTTAAAGAGGAAGCTGTGCTGAGAATATGCAAACAGAAGGCAACAGCAAATCCTAGATAATGAGTAAAACTCCCTATCACAGGTAGAGCCACTAAATCCATCTATTTCCATCCTTTCACTTAACAGGCAGTTGTTTTAGGCATGGACGGGGCCTTGATCACAGCATCATTGGCTTAAAGCGTGCTCAGCATTTTTCTGGATCAACCCCAACCAGCACATACATTAAAACTCTAAGTGCGGCAACAACCAACCTCTGTAAAGAACTGCAGGAGACACCCCAAATCAGCTTGTAATGCTTTTTATTTCAGAGCGTTTTCATGTATGAACTCAAGCTCTCCTTGCCTGCAGTCTTGGAAAGGGTTGGTCCCACAGTCACTTCTCTTTGACCTCAGTGCAAGCTGGCATCAAAAAAAGTTTATGGAAAGTGGATGTTCCCAGGAATACATACCATCTGCCATGGACTGACCCAGGAACTTGGAGCCTTCCTCAGAGCTCCTCTCCCCTCCTTCTTCATCCGCCTGTTCTTCTTCCACCTTATTCTCGTTCTCTGACCGATACACTATTATTGACTCGGGACGGGACTCTTTCTTCTTCTTTTTCCTCCGGTCCATAGTGGCTTCCCCATCAAAGGTGACAGTGGTTGCCACAGCCCTTCTCACGGAGCCACGGCGAGGGCTCTGGCTTCCAGACTTGCTCTCTTTCTGCATGGTCTCCCCCATCCTGCTGCTGCTCTCAAGCACCTCACTTGGCATCTTGTAGCACTTGTTTCCAATCTAACAGCTCCTGCACTTAGAAGTCATTGATTAGACAACAGTCCCATGGATGCTTTGTTTTGGTAAGGTGTCCCACTGCTGACATCCAAACTATGCACTCCATTCCCAGCCTAAAATGAGAGAGAAGGCTGAAAAAGTGTCTTTTTCTTACCAAGCAGAAAAAAATGCCAGACTTTTCCTATAAAGGGTTACTTCCAGCTGGCTTAAATGTCATCAGAAGATCCTTATTACTGTCTTGAACATCAATTTTATTACATGGATACATGTTTTGTAATATCACCTAATCCTGATTCTCAGGTTCCAATTTTAAATATAACAAACCAAAGCTATTGGAAAAGGAAAGAGTATTAACATTTATAAGAAGAGATTAAACAAGCACAGCTTACTGGGTGATTTTAACATTCCTCTGCAATGCTGGAAGCAAACAGAAGACAACAGTTTTGGCCAACATGCATGAGAATGAAGAAATGAAACCACAGACGAAAAAGAAGTTGTCTGATTTAAGGGACTGGCCTAGATTAGAGACAACTGCAGCAGGAGCACTGCGCTCGTCCTGCATTACAACAGCTATATTGGTGCCAGCCTTTCTCATTTTGAGTGTCTTCTGATTTACTGCTCATTGCAAGGATATTACAAAAAGTAATCAAATTATGTCAAAATGAATGATGTTTCAAACCTTACCAATTTAGCATTATGTAGTGCTGTCAGGCCTTAAAAATATAGTATACACAGTGGATTCAAAGCAAAATTAATATTAAGATGACTTCACTGGGGAGGGAATTGGAATTGGAAACCACAGTGGTCTTCTGATTGTGCAGGGAAAACAACCCAAATCTTCACAAATCTTTGTAACACATATAAGGGCTTAGTTTTTTACTCCTCATTCAAGCAAAATCAACAGCAATATCAAGTGACACTGTTATCCATGGGAAAGCTGCCTAAGTAAAAAACATATAATTAAACATGCATTGAGGCAGACGAATCCTGCTCCATGAACATGGAAGATGCAGGATTAATGATTCTCAAATTTCATAACATTTAAGAAACGCACTCTGCCAAGTATTCATGAAATATTTAAGTACGGATCTGAATACACTGAATAATATTTTAACAACACTGAAGAGCACTTTTGAACATTTATATTTAAAAGAATGCACATGACCAATAATTAAGCTTCTACCTAGTATCTGAGTCACCTCTTTAACAGGAAACTAAGAAACACAGTTATCATAATTTATAGCCCACACAATGCTGGGAAATTGTTTTACTTGAACAGATGCTAGAAAAAAGCTGAGCATTTTTGGATTTGGCAGCATGGTCTTGGTCTTCCCACAGATACAAGATTTTGCTGGTTTGTTTTGAAATTTGTTGCAGAACTTTAGATCAACTATTTATGCCTCGTACACTCTCTCTCTCACACACACACACACACACACCCCTTTTAATTGTATCACTTTAACACCTAAGACTGGGGCCAGTTGGCTCTATGTGGCTTTAAAGAACTCAACAATTCAGATTATTTTTTGCATTATAGAAAATAAATCTTCCCTGGTGATCAGAAGACACATAAAATGGAATTCAAAAAATCAAGATTCGGCATACCCCAGAAGTTGGACTACGTCTAAATCACTGGGCAGGGAATATCTCAGCTAGCTCTGCACCATGGCTGGGAACAGACTGTTTAGATTGCCATCTGAGTTTACACCTGCCATGCAAAGATGTACGCCTAAATTTGCAGACATACTGGAAAACAGCTCTATAATATACTAAATTTACTGCAAATACTGTCCCCTCACTGCAGTGTCAAGTGTTGCACTTTAGAACTACATAGAAGCAACTCGGTTTAAATATTCCACTGTTGCTCAAGGGAAGCAAGAACAAAGAGGGGCAGTGATGATGAATGCCCTAGTCTGGTGTACCAAATAAGTGTGGTTCAGTGTGTGGGTTGTCCGAGATCACTGCCTGTGCATTCTCCTCCCATCCCAAAGTCCAAACCCAACAGAGAATGGAGCAAAAAGAAGGGAATTTTGCCCCCTTTGGGTCTCTGGGAGAAACACCTCATCACCTCCACCCCCTCAAAAAAAAAAACAAAACGTAAATGAGGTAATGAGAAGCAATTCTCAATACAGTGCTTGTACCTCGTCTGCCTGAGGAACGTGGCCTTTACACCTGCTTGGAAGCAGCATGCAGATAGGCAGTTTTCCACATACCATAATATAAAAGATGAATGGGATATGCAAGAAACTTCACAGTGAAATCTAATGCTTTGCTTTGTACTTCCCCTTTTTAACTCCAAAGCAAACCATCCCGACTTCAAAGATAGCAAGCTCTGGCTCTTAACATGTTAATATTGGCAGGATTCCGAGATCTCTTCACATTCATTGGAATTCACGTAAACTTTTGTTCAGTGTTTTTTAAAAATGTCTTTATGGGGAAATGGAATAAATTTGTTCCACGGAATAAACTCACTCTTTGTAGTAAATTCATCCAGGAGGTACAATAGGCTTTAACATTTGTCTCTGAGGATCAACAATAAAACTTCATGTTTTGCCTCTATGAAATCCTAAAATCACCTGATTGAGCCTAATGAGCCCCTGAGACAACAGTGAGATTCCCCTCCCAGAGGTGGTGAAAAGAAAGCAGGCCTGCAGTCACAGAGAAGCCAAAAGCATCACTGCTGGGATGGTCTACTAAAAGTCTGGAGACAGGGAAGTTAATTTGGAATTAGATCCCCAAAGTTCCTGGCTGTAGTTCCATGCTCAGTCCTTACTGCCTTGAAAAGGGGACGACTTGCCAGTAACATGTAAAAATAACCCAAAGCTACAGGCAAAGATTTGTCCTTGAGCTTTTTTTTCTTAGAAGTTTATCCAGCTGTGACCTTGGTTAAACTCACAGTAGATGATAAGCTAATGTCAGTTCTCGGTGTGATGCCAAAGCCTAAAGGACTATGTCAACCTTGACTATGTGAGGAGGAGCAAGGTGATGTTACTTTTGAATCTGGCACAGATAGGATAGCTACTGGAAACCTGTGTCCAGTTCTTGTGCTCGCTGGGCAGGCAGGATGCTGATTAATGACCAGAAGATGCCTATGATACCTGAATTATTTTGCTATGTCTGACGTTCCCACCCCCACTACAGCAGCTATTGCCACTGTGAGTTACCACCAGGACTAGAAACACCTCAACAACAGGGTTATCAAGTGGTGGCAGCTCAGTTTCTTCTTCTCTTGCTCCTGAGCTGAGAAGAGGGGAGGGAATGGGCAATGGGGGCAAGCCCCTAAGAAGCGCCATTGCTGTGGCTGGGTCAGAGCCCTTGGGATAAGGAAATGAAGGAGCCCAGATTATTGTGTTTAAGGCACAAGGAGGTAAAATCTGATGTCAGTCTGTCTACATCAGAAACAAAAACATGGTGAAGAAGATCCCTCTGATCCAGCAGAGGAGGATGCAGTAAGATAAAAAGCTGAAAGATAGAAATACAGGGCAGACGTTAGGTGTTTTAACAAAGTGGGTAGGTGTCACTTGATATACATCATGGAGGGCTGTGGAGAGTTGCCCCATCACTGGAAACTTCCAAATCTGGACTGGGTATCTTGGCAGCAGTTTGGTCACCAGTACTTGACCAGAAGAGGTGTTAATGTGGGCTTCTATTAGGGAGCAGTCAGACTGAAACATCACAAAGAGCCCTCCTGATCTTAAGCCTGTTTTCACAGTGGATGTTTATTCTTTTCTCATCTGTTTCTGCCAATGGAGCAGCTGGGATACCCTCTGCCACCTGGTCCAGACCTTCTGAACACAGCACTTCAAAACACTACCATCAGTCCCACATCCTGCACGGATGCTAGTGAATCAAACAGGTTCAGGCCCCAGTCCCATTTTTCCTGTGAATATTTTCTCCATAGTTGCGAACAAAAAATAGGCTCTTGCAGAAATCACAGTAGTGTACACAAAGCTTATTTTTTCTCTCTTTTCTTTACGTCCTGTAAGAACAAGGTCAGCCCTCAGCACTACGCAGCTGTCCACAGCACCAACTCTTTCAGCCACACACCGAGATCTTCACCCCTTAAAAGCCTTGCTGTGGAGCTGAAGCATGACAACTGCCGTGCATCTAATATTAGTGATGTCTCCCACGTGGGAGCACAGGGGCAGACAGGAATCTAATAACTGTCCATGGGAGGGAAGGAGAAGAAATGATCAAATTTCAGAGATAGCAGGGAGCAGTTTATTAGCCAAACAATTGGTTATTAATCTCCGTGTGAAAACAGATGGAGAACCCTGGGGAGGCAGCTCTGCAAAAACACTCTGTAGAGGAATTTTTAGAAGTACAGTCTTCTGTTACTATGCAGGAAAGCTACTGCTGCTTACGCTTCCCATGACAGTATTAGTCTTTGACACACAAAACAGGAGCCTAAAAGCTTGGCCTTGCACCATTTAGGTCAAAGGAAGTTTTTTCCATTGGTTTTCAGGGCTTGATCCTGCTGCTAACAGAAGAGAAATTATCCAGTTTGAATGCAGACAGGAAGGAAGAGCCTTCCCACAAGCTAATAAAATCCTTGATCTTAAATCCCTGCTACAGCACAAATAACCTTTTTATGACTGCTCAGAGCAGACATGAGAGGAAAAAATGTAGACAGTAAGCAGTGAGGAGCATCAATTTTTATTTTTATAGTCACATAAAATGTACAACACATAAGAAGAACTGGCACTGTGTCTTCACTCACATCATGCAGGGGTTATCTGCAGAAACAAAAAACAACCTGTGCTTTAGAAGCACTGTGAGTTACCCAGGATGGGGAAGAGAGACGTGGAAATTTACCCCAGAGACACACCTTGAGAGAGAGCTCCCCAGCCACGGATCCTCCTTTGCCTGCTCCTTGTACTCCATAGCCTCCCCATCCCCAACCCCTTCTCCCCCCAACCCTGCCTCTGATTTTGTGCATATGCATGTGTGTGTTTCTGAGGATGTATGTTACCCAAAGGATT